TCCTCTCCCAGCCACGTAATTCCCATTTCCAGCTGTTTGCCCCTGAAAATCCCCTTCTGGAAGCACTCCCTGACCCCAAGGCAGTGGATTTTAGGGACTTGGTGTGACAGCAGCAGCACAGAGGTTCCCACTGCTCCCAAATTCAGCATCCCTGGATGGGCTCTGGGAGCTTCTCACCCCATTTCAGAGCAGGGTTCACCTTATCTCCAGCTCCTCCAGAAAGCTGGAATCTGGCAGAGTTTGTATCAACTTCTGTTAAGAATTCGAGTTGAACTTGCAAGTCTGCAGTGCAACACAGGTTAAAATCCACCTGGGCCAAGTCCTTTAAAAAAACAAAACAGAACCAAAAAAAAAAAGCCCCAAAAAACCCACAAACAAACCGAGAAAAAAAAAAAAGAAAAAAGCCCATCTATCTCCAAAACCTCCAGCAAACACTAACCTGAACTAAAATGTGCTCGATTAAAAGCAACAAGCCAAATCAGCATGAAACCACAAATAAAAATCAACAGACTGTGCCAAAGACCTTGGGGGGGATTTGGAGGTTTATAAGTCTGCTTTACAGAGGGGCTTTTTCCACATTCATGAGGCAGCCCAGAGGGACACAAAGGCGAAGTTATGAAAACAGTCCCCTGCACACAAACCCCAGCATTCCCCAGCTCCCATCCCTGAGCCCACAGCAGCTCAGAAGGGAACCTAAATCGAATCTATTAACAGGGAAATCTCAGAATTAATCCTGCTCCTTCTGCAGGCAGCCAAGGAAATTCTCCAGCAGGCAAAGTCCTCTTACCATGGCAAAGTTCTCCTGGAAGACTCGTGCCTGGTGTGGGAGATTCCTCCTTTGCTCAAAGCCTCGGAGTTTGGATCCCACCACACTCAGTAGCCCAGGGACCTCTCCTGCTTGCCCAGGTGTCCTTGGCTCTCCGAGGAAACTGTGGAGCAGCCAAGAGGGGAACAGCAGGGAGGGACAGAAGGGAAATGCAGCCAGAGTCACCATGAGTGACACAAAGCCACTCTTTGGGGTGACACGGAGCTGCCTTCCACCCCTGCACCCAAAACTGGCACCAGGAGAAGGCTCAGAAACCTCAGGGCTGAACAACAGATTTTGCTCATTACTGGCATTTTTGAAGTCAGCAGCAGACAGTTCCTCTTCCCATCCCTGACAAAGTCTTGGATTGACGCCTGAACCTCAGGGCAGCAAAGGAAAACAACCACGATGACGAAAAGCAAAAAGCAGCAAATAAAAGGAATCACATATAAATCAAACCAAGAGCAAAACACGGCCCCAGCGAGCAAATGAATTCCCATTGTCAGTGCCCCAGCCCTGCACACCCACCCTGTGTCTCTGCATGTGATGGACATGGGGCAAAACCCAAATATCATTTATTGCTCTTTTTGTTCTGCTTTGTTTGAATGTGGCCGTGTCACAACAGCTTTGGGGAAAATTGATCTTTCCTTCTCTACCTGTGCCCCAAACCCTGAACCCCATAAAATCCCTTTCAAACACACCTGGCCAAGAAAGGATGGGAAAAGAGGATGAGGAGCAGCCAATCTCCAGCCCTAAGTCCCTTTCAGAGGCAGCACTGTGAGACTGGAAAACACAGCAAGGGTCACACTCTGTCTGGTAAGGGAAACAATCACCCTTCCCAAGGTCTGCCCTGCCACTGTTCTCCCGGACGTGTGATGCTGGGCTTCACAAATCTGAGGGATTTCTGTTCATCAATCAGGATTCCAGAGCTGCTCTCCCCTCCCTCGGGCTGTAGAAGCTCATTCCCCTTCCCAGAGCAGCCCTGGCTGTGGGCTGGAAGCAGAGATGGACAGAACGAGGGCACAAAGCCCAGGGACAGACCCTGTCACCCATGGCTGTGCCTGCACCCCGGCCCCAGGAAGGACCCTGACCCCAACCCATACAGGGGAGGGAGGGATCCATGGACAGATCCATGGAGGGATCCATGCAGGGATGGAGGATGGATGCAGGGATGGATGCAGGGATGGATGGATGGATGGATGAAGGAGGGATGGATGAAGGGATGGATGGTGGATAGATGAAGGATGGATGGATCCATGAATATATCCATGGATGGATGAAGGATAAATGAAGGATGGATGGATGGATGCATAGCTGAAGGACAGATGAAGGATGGATGGATCCATGGACGAATCCATGGACAGAAGGACAGGTGATGGATGGATGATGGATGGATGGATGGATGGATGGATGGAAGGATGGATGGATGAAGGATAGATGGATGGATGGATGGATGGATGGATGGATGGATGGATGGATGAACGGATGCACGGCCGGCCGCCGGCGCGGGGGCAGCCCGGGGAGGGGGCGGAGGCGCCGGCGGGGCCGCTCCCCCCGAGCCGAGCAGGAAACCGGCGGTCGGTGGCGGAGCGGGGCCCGGCGCCGGCCCCGTCTGCAGCTGAACTGAAGCAGCAGCGCCGGGCGGCGGGGGGCGGGCGCCGAGCCCCGGCCCCTCCGGGACACGGGCGGGGAACGCGGCGCCAGCGGCGGCCGGGGGGAACCGGGGGGGGAGACCGGGGGGGGAACCAGGACGAGACCGGCGGGGGGAACCGAGAGGGGACCGGGCGGGGACCGGGGGGAGAACGGGGAGGGAACCGGGGGGAGACCGGAGGGGAACCAGGACGGAACCGGGGGGGAAAACTGGGGGAAACCGAGAGGAACCGGAGGAGCCGAGCCCTGCGGGGAGCGGGGATTGCTCAGCCCGGCCCGGGGGGTGCGGGTCGCTGTAATTTCCTCTCCAGCCCGACCCCTCGTGTCTCCCCCCCGAGCGCAGGGAGCCGGGCAGGGGGCTCGGAGCCCCCGGCGCTGCCGCCCGGCTGCTGGGGCTGGCAGGGGACACGCTGGGTGTCACCGTGCCCGCAGGGCTCAGCCTGGGAGCCTTTGCTGCACGGACGGACAGACAGACATGCAGACCCCTCAAGACCCCTTCCAGAGGCACTGCTTGAGTTTTCCTGGCCTGTTCCCGCTGTCCAAGGACTGATCTCAGAGCAGTGGAAGCAGCTGCAGGCAGGATCAGTTCCCCATCTCCACGACCCCACGGGATCACACAAGGAGCGGGCATTGCAAGTGTCCGTTATCTGCACTATAAAATACAAAGCATTTCTGCTTTTGAGGACAATCGGCCCTTGGATCTCAGCGGTGCTTGAATGGACAATCACTAAATGGGGAAATATAAACCGTGCCCAATTCCTAATCCTCCTCCTGGTGCCACTGTTCCGGATGTGCAGTGCACGCAGCTACCACAAAGCACTAAAAGACTTCAGGTTCAAAATGTGGAACTGTCCTTTGGTCAGGGACACGCGCTAATTACGGCACAGAAAGTGCAGGGAGCACTGAGAAACACAGCTCTGACAGAAGGGCTCGCTGGGCTCTGGCCTTGCTGTGCCAATTCTGACATCCAAACCCCCTTTCCCCGCTGGGGAAGCAGTGGGAGCCAAGTCCAGAAAGATTTATTTCTCCTTTCCTAAAACAGCACCAAGCTCTTTTTTTCCCTCTGTACTTTCCAAACCCGGTTCTCAAAGCCTGTACCAGACACTGGTTTCATGCAGAGCTGTCTTCCCATCCAGAAATGCACCTACCCCTGCACAACTCCTGCAAATGCTGCTGCTAGGAAAGTGTATTATGACCCAGAAAATGTCCAGCAGGCAGCATCCCCTGGCCAGGCACTTCTCAGCATCCCCACAACAGCAGCACGTCCCTGCCACTGGCAGAATTCTGGCTCTGAGGCACACAGCTGGCAACTAAAGCACAACTAAAGCACAGACAAACGTCTCAGCTGGAGAAAGCTGCTCCCACCACGTCACACCTCGTCCCAAAAACTGCAGGAGCTGTCAAAAGCCACGTTTGTGCACACCTGGTGTCAAATGCCAGGCAGAGCTGTGGGGTGGCTGCTGCCACAGCGCACAGGCAGGACACAACTCCCCGTTAATTCCTGGAAATGCCGATTACTGCCCCTTCCCAGGGGGATGTGGGGATGTGTGACACAGCCATGCATGCACAGACACCACGCAGGAAGGAGTGCAGCTCCCAGCTCTGTCATTTCAAATCACAGAAACTCTGCATGTGAACACGGACCAGCCGCTCCAGCCCAAGCAAGCAACAAAACCAAACATGGTTGATTTCCAGCAGATAAAAGCACATTATTCATTTCCACCTGAATCTGTTTCCACAGTGCTACTGACAATGTTTTGAGTTACTGTTGCTCTTTCAGACCAAGAGCTGCTTCAGGTCCCCAAACCAACAGTTCTGCCCTCCCAGTTAGATATTATTATTTTTTACGGTTATTTTTACACACAGTGAACTGTTTTAAGGCCTTACTTTACTACGATTTCAGACGCCTTTTATTTATAGCATCGACATCTTTTCCACGAAAATGCTGATGAGAAATTCTGGCAGTCTCAGGATAAAAGCAAGAATACACAAGGAACCCAGAAGATCTACAAAAGCCATAACTGATCTGTGCCACGAACGATGCTCAGGTTGTGAGCACCGCAGTTGTCCCTCACGCAGTTCACCTCACCCATGGTTTGTAAACCGTGGCTGCTCTGACTCTAACACGTGGCTGCAATCACATTTCCCTTTTGCTTTATTTAGCCGCTTTCACACCTCTGCACAACGCACAGAAACGAAGGGGAGGGAATAAGGAAGAGGCTCCTCAATGATTTGATTTGTCTCTGCGCACACACAGCTCCCCCCGAAAACCAAAAATTCCCACCGAGTGCTGCTTCCTTCAGGTCAAACACGGCTCTTCCCGTCTGCTCTGCTTCCCAGCTCCTCTCTGCTCACCTCTAACACTGCGGGAACCCTCACAGTGCAGGCAGGGCTCTGGCAGCTCCGTGACCCTCCGAGATCACGGTTCCACGAGCACAGAAGCAAAGGGATTTTTCTTTTTTTTTTTTTTTTTTTCTTCAAGGGAAGGAGGCAGAGGAGAGGGAAGATGTCTTAACTAAAGCACATAGTTTAACAATAATCTTACCACTGGAGACGAAATTCGACACCCAGGGCAATCACAGATTGGAGGATGTACCTGTAAGATTCCTTTGGACATAAGAGTCTTCAGACTTTTCCCTATATGCAGAGGAGAAGAAAAAGAAGAAGAAAAAGAATCAGCACGTTTATAAAAGGGAAGTATTTAGGGAAGGGGGGAGGGGGAGCCACGCGTCTGCTTCTATATCAACAGCCCTCCCCTTGCCTGCGGGCATCACCCGTCCCCGCCTGCCCCTGCAGCCAACTTTGTTCCACGCGGGGTCCCGGGAGGGGAACCGGGCATGACCTTGGGGGTACGGACCCCGGAGGGAACCGGGTACAGACCCGGGAGGGAACCGGGCACAGCCCCCGCTCGGTGCCCCGGGAGAAGAGCCGGGTACCGCTCCTGCTCGGTGCCTCCGGAGGGGAACCGGGCACAGCCCCCGCTCGGTGCCCCCTCTCGGTACCAGGGCTCGGTGCCCCTTCTCTGTGCCCCTTCTCGGAGCCCAGGCTCGGTGTCCCCGCTCGGTGCCGCCGCAGTCCCGGGGAGCCGCTCCCGCAGTGCCCGCGCTGCCCCCGCAGCGGGCACGGCCCCGGGGCAGCTCCCGCCGCTCCTCCTGACTCACCCCAGAGCAACTGAGGCTTCCCGAAGGCAGCAGGAGCCCGGGCATGAAAGGAACGGGCGCGACGCGCGAGGCAGCGATAATTAACGCGGCCCCGAAGCGCTGCCCCCGCTCTGTGGCGATCAATAACCCAGGCGAGGTGTCAGTCACCTCCTAATCGCTCCTCAGCCCCCAGGGCTGACACCTTCCAGCTCTCAGCTCATTCCGGGCCGTGCCTGCCCGCCCCCGCCGCTCTCCCCCCTCCCCGGCCCCGCTCTCCACCTGCCGCCCGCAGCAGCAGCTCCTCCGCGGAGCCGCGACTGCGGCGCCGGCTCGGGCGGGGAGGGGAGGGAGGCAGGGCAGGCGCCCGTCAGCAGCCGCCGGCGCCGCGGAGGTCCCGCACCACCCAGCTGCGAGGGGAACACCCCCTCCGCCCCGCCCGCCGCCCCGCCGGTGCCTGGCCGGGCCCCGCTGCCGCTCCCCGCGGCGCCGGCTCCGCCACCGCCACCGCCAGCGGCGGCTCAGGGGCGGGCGAGCAACCCCAGCACCCCCCGAGCATCCTCCGGGGTCCGCAACCCGAACACCCCCGAGCCCCCCGAACATCCCCCCCGAGCCCCCGGGTCCGCACCCCGAGCATCCCCCGGGACCCGCACCCCGCCCGCTGTTCAGCTCTCCGCCCGCGCCGCATCAAACTTCTCTCCAGCGGAGAGGAGCCTCCCAAATCCCCCCCTCATCCCCTTCCTAAAAACCCTCCCCCCCACAAAAAAAAAAAAAAAAAAAACCAAAAAAAAAAAAACCAAAAAAAACCCCCAACCGTTCCCAAACGGCTCGGAAAAGTTCGGCGGTACCGGAGCGTGGGGATCCGGCAGAGAGGGGCCGGGGGTGCGCGGGGAGGGGGCACGGCCGCAGGGAAGGGGGCTCGGCTCTCCCCGAGCACGGGGGCGAGAGGGAGGATGCTGAGGAGGAGCGGGGCGGCGCGGGGACCCCGCACACGGCGAGCGCTGCCTTTACCTTTGTGCCTGATGCTGCGCTTCCAGTCCTTGGCCGTCTCTCTGCCGCTGACAAACTGGAACTCGTTGGGGGTGAGCCACTCTCCCCGGTACCGGATAGAGGGTCCTTTGCTCCCTTGGCACAACTTATTGATGTAGAGCAGCGCCTTGTTCTCCCCGCACTCCACCTCGATGCAAGGCTCTCCGTTGTCAAAGAAGGGCTGGAAATCCGGGATGGAGGAAAACCTCTCCAGCATCAGGTCCTCGGGGAGGTGGTGGGGGTGGTGCGGGTGGGGGTGGTGGGGCTCGTGGAAGCCCAGGTACGCGCGGTGGGCAAAGATCTGGTCGTAAGCCGGCGGGTGCGGGGTGACCACCGGAATGGCAGCGGCGGCCAGAGGCGCGAGGTAGTCAGGTAAGGTTTCCATGGGCTGGTTAAAAGCTGCCAGGGCCATCTCTTCCCTGTCAAGTCGCTCCTTCTTGATAGCAGGCATGGTGCCGCCGCGCTCCCCGTGCGCCCTCGTCTCTCCAAAGCACAGCGGCTCCAATGTCTCCGGTTCAACTTGCCCTCGCTCTGGCTGGAGTTTGGATGAAATGCGCCAGCAGCAGCAGCAGCAGCAGCACAAGCACCTTTGGCGCTCGGGTGCCGGAGGTGGCTGGTATCCCCCGGAGCAGCCCGCTAACAAATCTCCTGGGCTGGCTCCCCAGCAGAGCTGTCTGGGATCCCTCTCCCACGGAGAGCCTAATGTACCGTAGACCCGGGAGCTGCTGTGTGGCTCGCAGATCTGCCCCTCCGGACTAATACCTGACATCTCGGAGAGGTCTCTGCTGCCGTAGACATTATTTTGGTTTAAGGAGGAAAAAAAAAGAAAAAAAAAAAAAAAAAAAAAAAAAAAAAAAAAAAGCTTATTGATTCCCTTAGATCAACCCACCTTCTCGCCAGGCTGGAGGGTTCCCCGCCGCCCAGCCAGCCAGCCCCCTTTCACCCTGCCCTCCCCACCCCCCGCTTCCTTTAAACTGACACCTGGTTTATTTATTTATATGCAATAATTAAAATTAAACGCTGCGCCCCCGCCGCCGCTCCGCGACCCCTCCCCGCCCCGCCGGCGCCCGCCGGGAGGACGGAGCCCCGGCCGGTGCCGGCTCTGCCCGCGGGGCTCCAGACACCCGGGCGGCGGCGGCGAACTTTCCCCGGGGCCGCCCACCTTCACCTGCGCGCTGCAGACTCGCCCCGCTCCCACCGAAGCCTTTCTGATCCCCGCCAGTTGGGTTTTAATCCCCACTCCTGCGGGAAATTTTAAGAAGCGCGGTGTTACGCTGCTTATCCCTCTGTGTATAAATATCTCTGTCTATAAATACGAACGCATCTACACACGCACAGACACACGGACATCTACAGTGCCATCCCCGCCAGCTCTGCGCTCGCCGCGCCGCTGCCCCCGAGCGCCGCGCCGGGCTGGGCTGGGCCCCCCGGGCCGGGACAGACACGGATTGATCGGTGCTCAGAAGTCACCGCACAGTTCGGAGACTCCGAGCAAACAAGATTTCCCTCCGCCGCCGCCGCCGCCGCCGCCGCCGCTTCTCTAACTTGGCCCATTTAAACAGCGGAGGCGCTGGGAAGCGCCGCGCCGGCGGCGGCGAGGGGGTGAGCGACGGACGGCGGGGCCAGCGCCGGCTGCTGCCAGCCCGGGAGGGACCCGGGGCCACCCGGGACTGCCCCGGCTCCGCGGGGACACGGCCGAGCACCGCTCATGCCCACCCCTCTGCACCCCCGTGCAGGATGCTCGCTGTCCCCGGCGGCTGGGACCTGGCTCCAGGATTCCCTTTTCCATGTGGGGATGGAGGGATGGATAAGGGATGGATGGATGGATAAGGGATGGATAAGGGATGGATAAGGGATGGATGGATGGATGGATGGATGGATGGATGGATGGATGGATGGATGGATGGATGGATGGATGGATGGATGGATGGAGCAAAGCTTAGGACACACAGAGTGAATTTGTTTTCCATCACAAGCTGTGGCAGACACGAGGTCCATGAGGAACTGCCCCGAGAGGACGGGGCAGCCCAAAATGAAGTTGTGTGGATTCAGGGATGTGTCACCTCAACAAGAAGGAGTTCCCTGCCTTTGGATGCTAAAGTGGGATCGACTGGGCAGGAAGAATCCTACCCAGGAGGGAAACAAAAATAAAATATCCCCCTAAACACGGGACAAGAAATGTGGCCCACATTAGCAGGTGGCAGAACAGTGAGGGTTCTGTGGGAGCTCTGCCTCAGAGCTCCCAGAACAGCACAAAGTTCCCAGCTTTGTCCCAAGCTGTGTCCCCTGACTTGCCTTCTTGCAGGGTGAGGTGGGGGCAGGTTGGCCTTGCCTGCCAGCCAGCGAGAAATGGCTTTGCTGTGTGACAGCAGCCACTGGCAGAGCTGGCAGGGTCATTTCTGAGCAATAACTGCCTCTGCCACTTCTCCGTTTTCTCCTGATGCTACCTGACCACGATCCTTGTTCCTTGCCATTTTCTGCTCAAGGAACTCCAGCTCTGGGATCTGTCTTTGCTTCTGGCTCTAATGAAGGAGGCAGATCCACAGACCCATCAAACCCTCTCATTTAGGCTTTCAGGCTTAGGCTCTTATTCTTAATGCTTCTGATTGCTCAAGATGACAGGGGAAAAATCACTTTCTATTATCACCTAATGATCCAAGGAAAATGCTTGGAAGAGGCTGCGGGAGACACAGACATTTCTGTGGCAGTCAGAGGGTTCTGGATGGGGGCAGGTGAGGGGCTGTGTGGGGAGAGGGGTCACTCTTAGCTCCCAGAAACTTTCATTCCTGACACATCCAACTGCAGCGGGCTCGAGAGCCTCGGGATCTTCTTCAGACTTCCCTTGGCTCCATCTTTGGAACTTGGCTTCCTGGGCCTGATTTCTTTTCAGTTTTTATGAGAGAGTGGGGATTTTTTTCCTCAAAGCTTCCTTCTTCTACATCCATCGGGGTTCTTGCTCTTCCACCTCCGTTCCTAATGGCAGCTCCACCTCCAAGTGCAGGCACAGCTTGGCCCCAGCCTTCTCCTGAGGAAGGCTCCGTGTTTCCTCCAGGAGAGGTCACAGGAGAGCAGGACAGGAGTGGATCCCGCAGGAACCTTCCTGACACAGGGAGGATGTTCTGGCAGAACTCGGGGAGGTTTGGAGGTTTAACAGATTGAGACTGATCCCAGCAAGCCCTGGAGTCACCAACGAGTCCTGCCTGTAATGAAGAACAAGAGCTCTGCCTTGGCTGGCTGAGTTGAGCAGCAGAGCCTGGAGTTGTTCAGCTCCAGCCTCTCTAATAGCAGAGCTTTTGGGATTAGTGTAAACAGATTCACCACTGGAGAGCAGATCAGAGAGCACCACGCAAATCCATGCACATGTGGTTAGAGGGGAGCCAGGTACGCCCTGCAAGCTGCACAGGAGCAATTGGAGCAGCTTTCCCAGGCTGGGGGAGGGATCTCTGTGGATTTTTGTTGTGTTTCCAGGGCGCTGGCAAAGTGAAAGCATGATTCTTCATTTGCTCACAGAGGCACTAGCACAGCAAACACAGTAAATAGTGATCATTTTTCAACATTCAGTTCCCCACCTCTGGGATCCATCACCCTGGATTGAAACAAAACCTTTCTCTCAGGTCAAATGTGTCAACAACCACGAAGAGTTACCTGAGCCAGAAAGTGTTTCCTAAGTGGAGATAATGCTTCAAGCACAGCTCTTAAACTTAAGAGAGAAAGATTTTCCTCCACATCCTATCACCAGTTTCAGGGACAAATTACTTATCCTGGATATTCCTCCACTATTCAACCAATAAAAGAAGGGAAAACTTCCTAAATGTAATTTATTTACATGTGCTTCAGTAAACCTCTAACTAAGTTAGGTTCTAACTGAGATCAAAGGTCCTTTGAGCTGTTTTAAAACCTCATTGCAGATGCAGGCCCTCATTGCAGATACAGGAAAGACAGGTTGAGGCTGGGAGGAGAGAGAAACCCAGCTACCTGTCAGATGAGCAACCTGAGCCCAGAAAGGGATCCAGAGCTCCTGTCCCTGCAGGATCCAGCACAGATCCCACCCAGAGCTCCTGGATCCATCCACAAACCAATCCATAAACAGATTTCATCCATAAACAGATTCCACCCATAAACCAATCCTCTCCCAAGTCATTGCCCTTTCCAAAGGACAGGGGAGGAGAGCAAAGAGCCCCACCAGCCCCTCCTGAGCCCCCAGAGCCATCCCTCAGCCTCTCCCAGAGTCTCGGGGACACCGGGGCTGTGGCACAGCCAGGATTCCAGGTTTTTTTTCCTGTCCTCCTTGCCGGGTGCAGCCCAGCTCTGTGCTCCCTGTGAGCAGCCAGAGCCAGGCTCGGGGCTGGGGATTGCAGTAAGAGCAGCCTCAGGCCAGACTGCTTCATTAGCAGAGATATCCTGACAGCCCAGCACTCAGGGAGGGCCCAGGTGGATGTGCAGGGGAGGGAGGTTGGGAAGGAGGATACTGGGAAGGGCTTTGCCTCTGAAAAAATGCTTTCCCAGGAGCTGCTGGGCTGTTCCCTTCTTAATCCTGCTGCTCCAGAGCCCTGCCTTTGGTTGGGGTGGGAATGGAGCACCTGGAACTCGGAGCTTTCCCTGCCTTTGGGAAGGTGTCACGGTGCTGTGGGCTCACACAGCAGCCAGGGCTGGAATCTGCGAGCCCAAATCCCTCATAAAGGGGTTCTGGCTGCCCCCAGAACAGCCTGGGACAAGTGGTTGGAGAAATTCTCTCCTTACCCAGCCACGTTCACAAAATGCCTCTTCCTGCCAGCACCCTGTGCAGCTCTATAACCAGTCTGGGTAGAGCAGAACTCAAAAAAAAAAAAAAGTCCTGGAGGAATTAAATGCCTGTTGGGAAGGAGTGAAGGAACTTTTATTTGAGAGGCAAGGGCTCCAATTCTAAACCAGCCACTTCTTTCTCCTAAACAATAAGGGCACAAATCTATTCCCATTAAAACCAATGAGAAACTTTTAGTGACTTCCCTCTTCAGTGTCCAGTCCCCATAACACAGCAAGAGGTTGCCCTTCTCTGCAGAGATTTTGGAAAACAAGTTCAATTACACTCAAGTGACGCCTCCGTGGTGCAAAAAAATCCCTGATAGAAATCACCAATGGAATAAACCTTTAGTATCAAAGAAATAACATTTCTCTGGCCCTTTCCTAAGGCAAGAGCTGCCTCCTTTGCAGTTCCAGTTGCTGAGCAGCTCCCTGTGCTCCCCTCTGCATCAACCACTCTTTGTGCACACTGCAATTA